TGCAAGTTCTAATTTGAAATTCAACTTTAAATTATTTGAACATCAATACTCTTCAAATTCTGAAGTTTTATTTTAGATGCTGATAACTAAAAATCCTCCTTTTCTACAAAACTTGGGGAGGATGACTCTTTTTAAAGCTTATTTAAGTAAATATTTGTAAATTGATCTTAGAGTGCGTATTGACACTCCTTCTTTTACACATTACACACCCCTTTTAATGTGGCTAAAATATTCATTAATATAATTACTTTTAAGGACAATAATATTTAAAAAAAAAATACTCATTACATACCTTATCATTAAAAGTTTCCCCACAAAAAGGTACGTGGTTAAATTTTTTCTTACAAATTCTTATTTTTTTCAATTCAATTTTTGATGGTTATACATTAGTTCTAACATAATCATGATTCGTAAAAAAATTTTTGAAGAAAAATATTCGTGAAAGAGCCGCCGGCATGTGAACTTCACTATGATTGAATGTGGAAATTGGAAATTTTTTCTTTTTTTTGGTTGCATACGTCTACTGCTCTACTCAGCATATTAAGTAGTATTTTTTTTTTTTTTTTTTTGGTTGCATACGTCTTCTACTATACTCTAGTCGTCGGGGATTGTAATTATTTTGTCGTTGGGGAAAGTCCAGAAGACTCGATGATCATGGTTTTTATAGGTTACAAGTAATTTATGCTTCAATGATGAAAGTTGGGCTTTCAATATCATCTTCAATAACGAAAGCGTGCATTACAATAATAATAATAATAATAATAAATTAAAAAAAAAACTTCTTATTCTGTAGCATAATGTTCTTATAAATCATATTTTCTTCCAAAAAAAAAAAAAAACAAACAAACACTCCAATTTCATATATATGAAAATAAATAATAAGATAAAGAAAAGGATAAGTTTGATTGGCGGGAGCAAAAAAAAAAAAAAAAACAGAGAATGGTTTAAGAGGGGTGTAACAAGTAGAATGTAGATGGTTTAAGAATGTGTGTATAAAAAATAAAATTAGGGTGATTTAATTGTGAGGGTTTTTTAAAAAATTTTAAGAGTGGTGTAACAAGTAAAATGAGGGGTAGTTTAAGAACGTGTGTGTAAAAAGTAGAATAGAGAATGTCAATAGATGCACCCTTGATCCTATTACAAATTATTTTTGACAGATAATAGATTAATTAATCATTGATTTATATTTTTAAATTTTTAATTACGTATGGTTCTAGTTTTTTTTTCCCTAGAAAGTAAACATTTTTCAAGTTTAGCAAAATTAATCACATTTTAGGCTTAGAAGGGTCTCTCTCTGTTGCGATTTCTACTTTGGATCCCAGAAAATAAAACGAACAATTGATTTTCTTATAGTGATGGTTGTTTTATTATATACTAGTTTTATAGTGTGCTCTGCACGTATTGTCATGTTGTAAACACTTGAAGAATTTATTGTTTATCGAATAATGAAAAATTCATTTATAGTACAACTATATATTTTAAGATTTTTGAATTTGTTTTAAAAAGAAATAGGTGTAAAGATGACAATTCACCCAAAAAAAAAAGTAGGGACACATTTGAAAAAAATTATTTTAACCAATCAAAAATAAAATAGGAACACATGCGAAAAAATTACATTCATATGAGTAAATTAGGAACAATATATTTTCATAAAACACACAAAAAATTAAAATGTAAAACACAATTCACAAAAAATAAAGATAAAAAAAAAAAAGAAATAAAAAAAAGGGTAAGTGAAGGGGCTGCCACGTAACAGCTTCATAGAAAAAAAAAACTTTGACTCTTTTATGTATTGTACGTTAGATGCATATTATAAAGATTTTGATCATGAAAGAAAATTATTTAAGGATACTAGCTGATCTTATTATGTTTTCCTATTGTTTACTTATAGCTCAAATGTTAGAGCCTGTTAATACATCTAGAATCAAGAATTCATCAAATATAGAAGGGAAATACAGACAAAATGTCCCATTCATTTCATCGATTTGAGTTTAGAATTCAAATTTTGCTACAGTAAAAAGCTCTCAGAAACAGTCATATCTAACTTTTTTGTTATAGTAAAATGCTCTCATATAAAGTCACATTTTAACTCGAACCAGCGAACTAAACGGACCCTAAATACCCCCTTAGACTGTAGGACTCTTGATTTTTACATTTTATTTTTTATTAATACCCTTTTTTAATCAAATACTATATTAGTTAAAATTGTATTAATCAAGTATAAAAGTTAAAAATTTAAACTCATGCACTTTTAAAAATAAGTTCAGCATTTGCTCAATATTTAACATTCCCAATCGTAAACATTTTGAATAAGCAAGCACATATGCAAATGATGTGTTAAGGAGACCGATTCTAACTCTAACTTTATATTAATTTATGAGTTGTTATTCTTTTATTGTTAGGTACAATTTCATTTTTTGTCAATTTTTTAAATACCTATTAATAAAATATTGGCAACTCATGAATTAGTATACAAGTTAGGCTTATAGTTAGTGTCCCTTAGTATCTATATCATTATTGCACTATACTATGACAAAGAGCCAAAACTTTGTATAATAAGTTATATTATTCGTTCGCCATATGAGATTTAAAGATTGTTAAGATTTATATATGATTCTAATTGGTATTTCAAAGGAAGAAACTTTTTTTAGTTTTACAATGGTTTAGCATTTGGAACAACATAACAGAATCATTGACTACGAGACAATAATTGATGTTAAGATATTTGATGTCATCTGAGTAATAGACATAGCTTGGACTCAAGGACTGCGAAGCATATAGTTGGAATGCATGACTCAGTGGAAGACATTTGTTTGGCCAACAATCGGTTGATAAATTAAAAAATTATGCAATACGTGCTTTTCGTATTTGGAGTTAGAATGATACTTCAGATAAGAAATCCTTGTTTCTCAACTAATTGGTCAATTTGCCACAAAATCCGAAGCAATTTAAATATAAAAGAAATAGTTTAATCTAAGTTAGAAGCCAACACTTAGAATGCTATTAATTAGCACGATTTCACACAACGACTCTACACTTTTTGAATAGGCTTCAGATCATCTTCCTTTTTGCTTTCAAATCTATGTGGGACTACGATGTGTTTTTATTTTTGCCAAAAGTTTAATTACTAATTCTAATTCTGGCTTATGCAGAGACGAAGGCAGTTTACGCCCAGGGGGCTTCTTTTTTCTTTTATTTGTAATATATATATATATAACAAATTGGATATAGCCTCCTAGAAAATTGAAAATCCAATCTTAAAACCTCCAAAAACTTAAAAAGTACTACTTTTTGGAGCAATACCTTTAAGATTACTACTTTCTAAAAAATACTACAAATTTTAACTTCCAAAGTCTTTTGTAACTAACTAAGAATGAATAATACTTGTCTATTAATTTATCTACTTCTAACATTAACATTAACTCTACTTGTTGTTATTAATATTGTAGAAAGGGTATCTTATGTTATCAATACTTCGAAGAATTGACTAAGCAATTGAATTGGAGATCAATTAATTAATATTTACTTATGTACATCAAGAAAATTATCTTTAATAACATTGAAAATATTATTATTATGTAATATTTTTGGATAAACTTTGATGTAGTTAAAATTAGCCCTCGACTTCATCATTGGGCATACATGTAGTCATATAACTGTTAACATAAACGATTTATAAACAATGCTAAGGACACCAACTCCGATTCTAATTTTTATGTACTAATTAATGTGGCATTTAAATTGTCAAGAAACGCGTAGTAATATCCTGTTACCATAAGACGGTGTTTTTAAAAAGTTTTACCGACATTTTTAAACCATCGTTAATTGTATTGTACATATAAGGATTATCAAACAGACGACGCTTTACAAAACTGTCATCTATTCTTTTAATAATGGATTTAAACCGTTATTAAATTTGTACGTGCTAGTGGATAGACTTATGAAGCGAGTGAGACTGTTTCCTTAGACATAAAATGCATAAAAACAAACAACTTGAAAAATGAAAAACATTCAAAAAAAAAATGAAATGTAAAAGTAAAACGCAATAAACATCATTTTCAGACAATCATTGAAGGGACAATGAATAGTGAAACAACATCAAGTATAGCATCGCCTCTCAAATGACCAAAAAGGTATTAGTTTTCAAATTTCTACTCACCTCAAAATCTGCATTCTCTCTGTTGGTATTCATTTAGAAGTTCACTATACGTCCAAGAATGGTTGAGGCATTTTATGCACAAAGAATTAGTTAAATAGTAAGAAAGTTATTTAGATTTTATTGACATTTAATATTTGAATACAACGAAAACGTTGCGCAATTTTTTTTATTTAATTGATACGATAATTTAGACTTTTTGTAGGTCTTTAAGGATAAGCAGTTCTAAACTGACTCAAACCTAAGCCCCACGGTTTCAAACCGCACCAAAACCATTGGATTTAATGGAATTAGATTTGGATTGAAAAAATACGTCAAACCAGACCGCTTTCACCCTTGTACTTTTCTTCTTCATGCATGCACCACATATAATGCATATATATATACATATATATATACATATATATATATACATATATATATATACATACACACACACACACACACCTAGATCTACTATAAATTAAAAGAAGTTATACATACGACTTGAACTAGAAAATTAAACGCGTACGGTTCCCAAAAAGAAGTTCTTACAATATATTTTCCTTAAACCCCTTCCCTAATTATATATTTAAAAAAAAAGTGTAATCTTTCAATATATTGCTTCTAGAAGAAGCCCCTATAAGCAAAGAAAGGCTCTTCAGAACCCTCTCAAGTCTCAACCCTGGCACCTGCACATTTCACAATCTGTGTCCTAAAACTAATATACCAAGCTGATATATATCTTACTTCTAAAACAAAACAAAACAAAACAAAAAAAGAAAAAGAAACACACACACAAAAGAAAAAAAGATAATATGATCTATACAAATAAGTAGAGATCATTCAACACAGTTTTGGCCTTCTAAAACATTAAGAGATTGCCTGATGAAAACGAGTCCTCCGACAAAAGTGACTTGATCACTTCTTGATCATCTTCTTCTTCCTGATCAACGGTGATGATCTGATAGGCGCTGCTGCTGCTGCTGCTACAAAACATGGTTTCATGATGATGATGGTACTGGTGTGGTGATGATTTTCCTTTATTGAAATCAGATTCATGAGATTCCATGATCCTCAGCTTTCTCTTCTTGTAGTTGGCCTTGAAACAAGCTTGTCTAAGCCTCTTTGTTGTGTCCTCTAGTTGAATATCAGGAACTTCCTCCACTAGTTTCTTTTCCCTTTCCAACAACTCTATTGCATTTTTCAGCTTTGATTCGTTTTCTACTCCTTCTTGCTTTACCAACTCCTGTCGCACGATACCATAATCTCACGAAAATAGTCATATATTGATGATCTAAAATATTACGAAAATAGTCAATAAATACATGTGATAAAAAAAATCTTATGATATTGTAAACTGTGCACTAAAATTTCAGGATCTAAAATATTTAGAGACGTCCACTTTAAAGAACACAAGAATTGGGATTTTAATTTTTCAGTTTGAGATAAGGGTTCATTTTTCCAAATTAAAAGGGAAGAAAAAGAAAAAGAAGAAACGTTGTATGTTTGGTTAAAATCTATAATTAATTATGAGAAACGTTGGCCATAATAAGTCATGTAAATGGGCTGCATATATATCTATATATGTATACATATATATGTATATGTATATGTATATGGGACCTGAACATTGTTGATTAGGGTTTGGAGGCTGATGAGCTTTCTGTGGGGCCAACGGCTGATGCCCAATTCCCTACATCTTTTCTTCAAAAGAGTCAAGCCCACATTGAGTTCCTTTGCGGCCTGAGTTATTGGCATATAATAGTATTTAGAAAGAAGTTCTCGTGAAAGCATTTTAGAAGTACTATTGCTGTTCTTCTCTTCTGATGATGATCTACATCTCTTAACACCCTTCCTCTCTTCTTTGGTCATCAAATATTTTCCTGTTTCTCCATTATGATTGATTGGCTTCTGCTGAACATGAATCTCAGGCCCAAACCCAACACGCCCATCTTGGTCCCAAACTCCAAGTGCCGGACCATTTCCATTGCCATAGAAAAATTCATGGTCTGCTATACATATAACACATAATATTGATCATTGGCCAAGCAAAAAAACATACGCACACACAAAGAATATATATACATATATACACGTTTATGTATGTATGTGTGTATATGTATGTACGAATACCCATTACAGAAAAATTGCATTTCTTTTCAAAGTTCCAAAATTTGTCACCTTGAATTACAGTTGAGATGGGTTCCATTGTGCCATAAAAGGAGTGATCAGTACTAGAATGGTACTCCATTAGAGGAACAGCGTCAAGAAGAAAGCTCTCCTGTATTGGCAATTCATTTTGCCAATTATATTCCAAGTTAATATTATTATAGTAACCTGCATATTCTCCGCTACAAACACATTAAGAAAGGAAAAACAAAAAACAAAAAAACGTCAGCCAAATATTCGAGTGAGTACGTACGTTCAACATGTAAAAAACCAGACCTTGTTGAAGCATATATATTGTAAGAATTTTATATATCATGATGAAACAAAGTATATATACAGTACTTAATGATAAAATGACATATGTTTACCTGAAATCAAATGGAGGTAACTGAGAGATCGGAAACATAAATGGATTTTCATCTATGGCCAGGATTTCATAATTTGACATCGTCCAACAAGTTTCCATAGATTATATATTGATATAGAGAGAAAAACTACAAAATATTGCAGAAAAATATAAAAAGTTTTGGTATCGACTGAAAGTCTGAAAGTGGGCAATTTGGTAAATGGGATCGAAGCAAATGATTTGGAGAAGCGAATGGCTTCTTTATGGGAAGAGAAAGAGTCTCTTATTGATGTGTGTATATATAGATATATATATATATATATATATATATAATGGATATGGAAGAAGTATATATATCATGAATGGAGAAATGGTGAACCGCAAAAAGTATGTTTTGGAGAACGTGCGCCGCCACAAATCCCATGCATGAATGAGTGTGATTTATTGCTTCACCGTGTACTTCTGAGAGTTACAAGATTCATTAATTGATTATTCCGAATGTATAGAGAGAGAATATCAGAGAGAGAGAGAGAGAGAGAATGTGGGAGTTTAATGGGCAGTAAATAGGAAATAATCTCTCTTTAAGAGGGAAATAAAAAACACTAAAAACACTAGGAAGAAAGTGGAGAGACTCGTGCTTAACTCAGTCAGATCAATCTTCCATTTGGATATCATCCAATCTAGTATTTTGGGAGTTTAAAAGAAGGAAAAAAAAAAAGCCCTTTTAGATTGTTAATCAGAATATAACAATATTGATGAAAAAGCTATAATTCAGTTCGTTCACGCTAAGCAAATCCATATTTTTATCTATAAATATACTGTATCAGCCTGCATGGTTGCCACGTGGATTTTTCTTGGGAATTTATTTGCTTATTCCCTTTGAAACTCATAGGATAGGACTAATAAATAGCATATATATAAAATCCAATGTTATAATGAGAGCCCCATGTATAGGCGCACTAAAAACTTAGCCTGGCTGAAACAATGATTATATTTTAGCCAACCTTTTTATCACTCTTCCTGTGATTATTACACTAGGATAGTTGATACGGCCAAGGACAAAAGATACTCCTACTTTGTCTATGTAGGTGTATGTAGGATATATATA